TGTTCTGTAGTCGGCGGGAACGCAGTTCCCCCAGCCCCCCCAGACAGCCAGTTAGAAAGCTTTCCACAGCCTCTAACCTGAATCTTCCTGGCTGTAACTTAAGCTCACCATTTCTCACCGCATTTGTTATAAAAATGGAGAGCACATTATTCTCATCTGCTATACACCTCTATTTTTCATATAAGCAAAGACTTTGCCCTTCTCCTTGTCTCCATTCCCCAAGCAACATCGGTTTGCCAAATCTTTTCTTAGAGGCCATGTTGTATAAACCTTGGATCACGGGCAGAGCCAGCGGCCGCCACAAAACACCATCATCATAAACTCTGCTCTTCTTTTAGTCAGTTATCAAGGAGGAACTAGAAAGACAAATTCTCAACAACTGCATAATTGTCGAAGCAAAAATGAGAAAGGAAAAGTCAGCAACAAGAAATCCTTCCCTTACCTTCCACACTCCTCTCTCCCAGAAATTCCTCCACTGAATCCTCCCACCTATGCGAAACTCTGGAACCGTTCCCTTCCACTTCTGGGAGATGCCTAGGGAGATTTCCTCTGCTCTGGTTCCAGAAATGGTATGTACTAACACATTTTGGGACCTTCATTTTTCCTTTGACATCACAAAAACCAGAGCACCATCCCATCTGTAGGACTTAAGCATTTTGCTCACAGAGAACCCCCAATAACTGTGAGAAATGGATTCCAGTCCCCAAATCAGTGCAGTAAATAGGCTGTACCTGGGCTGTAAGAACAGAGACTGCAATTGCTACTTACCTTGGCTTCCCCCACAGCACTTCTGAGGGCTGCAGACTTCTCTCAGCTCTGCCACTTCTTTCTCCAGCTTCTCCATCCTCTCAAGTAGACCCTTAATGTGGGTCAAAGTTTCACACTCCCCTTTGGGTGCGTGTACGTGGATGTTGTGCCTAAAGATGATATTCTGCTCTTCATTTTCCTCAGCCTCCCCAGGACCTAGCTGCACCTCATTGTTGTCTTCATGGTGTAATGGATCTGCCTCCACCTTAATCTGGGAGGACGTGGGCAGGTCAATTTTGTAGGAGTGGCTGAAGGATATTCTTTGACCGTCACTGGCGCAGTTGTGAGGTGCAGGTTGTTGAATGGCAGATGTCTGAAGAGCACAGCACAGCAATACTCCCACCGGGAAGGCAAGCCAGCTCTGGAAATCCATCTGGTAGGCTTTCAGAGGAAGCACTGATCCTTCAAACAGCACAGCTGCTTTCAAGAAGAAGAAAAATATAAGAAGTGCGATCATAAAGATGGTTTTCATGATTTTCTAAAAGACAAATTCTTTGGTTTTAATACTAGGTTGGTCGTCTAGCCCCCCCCCCCCCAACTATGAGCTTTAAGTTTGCAACATTCAAGTGAGATCCATTGCAATTCTTAATTATGCCATAGCACTTCTCATTCCCCTGCAGTTACAGTAAACACTGCATCAGTCTCCTGGCTGTGATCTGGGTTACTGATCTTTTTTTTTTGACCATTGGGTAATGTTCAGCAGCCTGCATGGTTTTCAGCTAGAAGCTTGATAACTGTGCTGATGCTGCGTGCATAAAAAAAATTCTTTTGGTACAAGAAGTATGGGAGATAGTTTTGCTCAGTTTACATGCATCACGCCATGAGATATCTTTCCCAGGACAGCTGCATTTCATGCATGGGTGGAAACGTTTTCAGGAAGCTGTTGGCAGAGATGCCAGGAGTCAGTTTGTACAGGGACTATAAGCATAGAACACTTTCTCAGGGAGGGAGATCAGCCAAGAGAAGTGGACTGCAGAACGGGGCCAAGTGTCCACTCCAGCCTTAGAGCCCCCATCTCTGCCTCTGCCCACGGGAGACAGAGGAGGGGAGCTGAGTTTTTGTGGAGGTGAGGACATCTGCTCTGTAGAGGCAGGACTGAGACCCTCACCTGGCTTCACATGTGTTGTTGATCACACATCACAAACCCCTCAACTTTGCGTACAGCTGTCCTGACAAAGAGCTGAACCAGCTGTCTTCAGCTTCAGGTCACGTGTTGATGATTTCTCATTTAGTCCACCATTTCAAAAAGGCCCTTTAGATTTAAATTATCAGGTTTTAGCCACGTGACTCATATGACACATAAAATTAAACCCATCCTCCTCTTCTAATACAGCACAGAGCCTACACTGTTATCTGGACTGGGGAGAATTAGAACATTTCCGCCATTTGAAACCAATATTTTGGCATTTTGTGTGCCTGAACACTGGCTTCACTTGAGGGACTTCAGGTTTATTTTGTATTTTGCTTTGACTCAGTTATCTGATTTGTTATCTCAGCATTGGCAGGGTTAATTTAGAAGCAACTAGAGCATGGAGTGAGTTAACACATTGAGTGAGAGAGCGTGTTGTAAACCCATTTGTTTTCCTGTACTTTTATTTCAAAAATATTCCTTCTTTCCTACCCTGCAGACATAAATAGGAAGAGGTGGTTTTCAGGCTGATTAAGTCTCAAAACTCATACTTAAAAATAAATAAATAAAATTGTACTGTTTAATAGCATTGACATTTAGAGGTCAAACCTGAAGTCCAAACATTTAGTTTAAAGTCTTCGGGTACTTAACAGAAACAAGGGCATTTGCTGTAAAATTTGTATGCTGTCAACCAAGCAAAAATTTAGGATTTAAGAAATGAACACCTCATAGGCGAGAATAACAGGAAGGAAGAAGCTGAACAAACAGGGGTGGAAGGATAAAATATAAAGTTAGAAACCTAAATTTATCTGTTGGCTTATTCAACGTTACAAACTAAATTTTGGCATTAATGGTAGATGTCAATCTGTACAGGAGGCGATATATATTTGGTTAAATACTTAGAATTTCTTCTCACAGGATGCAAAAACAAAATGCCACCATATGTGACTTCCTAAGCAGTCATGTTATTCATTGCACAAGCAGAATAAAAAAAATTTAAGTGCTAAATTGGGTAATGTGATAACTAGAAACCATTTGGCCAATACATAACCATAGTAACAGCAGAGCTGAACCCAGATAATAGCAGATAGTAGTGCTGCCCCAGATAATACTCTTTAAAGTAACAGAGGACTCCACTCCAAAAGAATCATACTAAGTTTTCAGCTCCTCTGCTATTTCCATTATAATCACATTTCTGAAAGTCATACAGTCCTGGGTTACAATGAAAATTAACTGTGTCTGTGAAACAACATTGTACGTTTTAAATGCCCCCAAAACTTTGGAAGTATCCCTACCATTAGATTCATGCCCTACCATTGGCAGCACAGCTACAGGAAGGTGCCCTTCACGCTGAGAAACATAAGGTTTTGGTTACTAAAAACCAAACCAGAACCGCACCACCACTGGAAAAACTTATTATACATGCTTATACCTATATGACAGGCCACTCTAGCGCTAGCTCATCTCTCTTCAAGCAAAATCATCACTGACATCAAGAAAAATAGGGTACAATCAGTCTACAATCCTTTAACTCATATGAATTAAGTAAGGGAGTTCCCTCTATTGCTCATTCCCAAGCAGTAATTTGTTTGCTGGCGTTTTTTTCATCCATTCAGCACTTATCCACTATGTTTAACTTGCAGTAAGAGAAGAGGAGGGTGGAGAGGAAGTATGTTCTTCTGTGGAGGCAGGACTTCATTCCCATCTCATCTCCTGAGGTTTTGATTTGTTTGTGGCCAAAGATGCAGCTTTCCCACCCGGACCCAACTGCTATTCTGTTTCCCAAGACTCCTCTCCCTCAAAGGGACACAGAAACTAACTATACCTTTCTTTTTCTGCTGTGCAGTCTTCTGAAACAAATCACATCATAAGAGATTGCTTCAAAACTCTGAACAAATTTAATGTCTAAATTCTATAGATTCTCACCTTAGTCAACTGCAGAAAACCCCAAAAGCTTCCATAGAATCACAGAATGGTTTGGGTTGGAAGGGACCTTTAAAGGTCATCGAGTCCAACCCTCCCCTGCAATGAGCAGGGACATCTTTAACTAGATCAGATTGCTCAGAGCCCTGTCCAATCTGGCCTTGAATGTTACCAGGAATGGGGCATCTACCACCTCTCTGGGCAACCTGTTCCAGTGTTTCACTACCATAATCACAAAAAATTTCTTCCTTATATCTAGACTAAATCTACCCTCTTCTAGTTTAAATCCATAACCTCTTGTCCTATCACAACAGGTCTTGCCAAAAAGTTTGTCCCCATCTTTCTTCTAAGCCCCCCTTTAAGTACTCAATGGCCACAATAAGGTGTCCCCGCAGCCTTCTCTTCTCCAGGCTGAACAACACCCACTCTCTCAGCCTTTCCTCAAAGAAGTGAGGATTTGATCATTTTTGTGGCCTTCCTCTGACCCTGCTCCAACAGGTCCATGTCTTTCCTGTGCTGGGGGCTCCAGAGCTGGACACAGTACTCCAGGTGGGGTCTTGCTAGAGCAGAGTAGAGGGACAGAATCACCTCCCTTGACCTGCTGGCCATGCTTCTTTTGCTCAGGATATGGTTGGCCTTCTGGGCTGCAAGCACACATTGCTGGCTCATGTCCAGCTTTTCATCCCCCAATCATAGAAGACCATTAGGTTGGCCAGGCAGGACTTGCCCTTGGTGAAGCCATTGTGGCCGTCTCAACTCACCTTGAGAGGTATGGGAAGAGTGGTTGCCAGTGAAGATTGAGGCAAAGAAGTTGTCAAGTACCTCAGCCTTCTCCTTGTCTGTTGTTACCAGTTTGCCAGTCTTGCTCATCAGGGTGGGTACACTTTCTTTGACCTTCCTTTTCTGGTTGACATACCTGTAGAAGCCCTTCTTATTATTCTTTGCATCCCTTGCCAAGTTCAGCTCCAGCCCTCCTGACTCTACACAACCAGGCAGCATCCCTACTCTCTTCCCAGGATACTGTCCCTGCTTCTACTGCCTGTGCAGTTCTGTCTTGCTCTTTTGTTTGACCATCAGGTCTTGACTACCCATGCCAGTCTCTTGCCTTCCTTTTCTGACTTCTTACACCTGAGAGTGAGCAGGAGCTCTTGCACTCTATGGAAAGTGTCCTTAAAGATCTGCCAGCTCTGTTCTGCTCCCTTGTCCCTGAGGGCAGTTTCCCAGGGGGTTCTATTGACTAACTCCTTGAAGAGCTGGAACTTTGCTTTCCTAAAATTCAGGGTCCTGACTTTACTCTTCACTTGACCCATATCCCTCAGGACTGCAGCCTCCACTGGTACATGATCACTGCAGCCCAGGCTGCCTCCAGTCTTGACGTCACACTTCTGTTGGTGATCAACAGGTCCAGTATTGCATCCCCTCTGGTAAGGCTGTCTATTACTTGGCCTAAGAAGTTATGCTCAATGCATTCCAGGAGTCTCCTAGATTACCTACAGCTCACCGTGCTACTTTTCCAGCAGATGTCTTGCCAGGGGACTTCAGCCACCCTAACAAGAGCCTGTGAGCACAATGCCTCCTGTAGCTGGAGTAAGAAGGCTTCGTCAGTCAGCTCCCCTTGATTGGGCAGCCTGTAGTAGGCACCAACCACAAGGTTCCCTTTGTTGCTTTGGTCTCTGATTCTTACCCATAAGCTTTCAGCCTGCTCATAGCTATTCCTCAGAGACAGCTCTTCACACTCTATCCATTTCTTGACGCAGAGGGCAATGCCTCTGCCCCTCCTTCCTCTCCTGACCCTTCTGAACTGCCTGTAGCCATCGATAGCCACACTCCTGTCATGGGATTCATCCCACCAAGTTTCAGTAACAGCAACTAGGACGTAGCTTTCTAGCAGCATGGTGGCTTCCAACTCTTCCTGTTTGTTGCCCATGCTGTGTGCATTGCTGTAGAGGCACTTCAGCTGGGCTGTCAGCCATGTCACCTTCTTGGAGGAATACCCCTTAACTCCTTTGAGGCATTTCACTGGTGTTTCCCTGTTGGCTCCTATTACCTCAGGAGTAAGGTCTCCATGAGACTTCAAGTGTGCTGCAGTGTACCCAGGATGTCTCAGAGCAACAGGCTGAGGTCTGTCACTAGAGGGACGCCATGCCTGTAACTTTGGCGCGTCATCCCACAGCTTGTCATGGGCAAGCCTGATATTATCCCTCTTCCCCCTTTGAGTCTCGTTCAAAGCTCTGTCAATGAGCCCCACTAGCTTGTGAGCAAAGACCCTCTTCCCCATTTCACAAAGGTGAGTCCCATCTGATGCCAGCAAGCCTGGTGCTATGTAGGCCATCCCATATCAATGGCTTTGTGGGGTTTGCTTCCAATCCCGGTTCCAAACCATCACCACCCCCAACCACACACACACATATCAATGGCTTTGTGGGGTTTGCTTCCAATCCCCAGTTGGTTCCAAACCACCACCACCCCCAACCACACACACACGCAATCCCTTCTCTCAGCACCAAGTGCTGAATAGCATTCCGTTGTAACATGATGTCATTACTAATTAGGGCTTCATGGAAACCACAAATTGATCTCAGATTTTCCTGGGTCTGGAGATCATTCAGGAGGAAAAACCCCTGAACATAAGCATTTCTGTCAAGCATAATGAAAGAGGAGGACAGCTTTTTTGGCTTCCTCATCATGTAATAAAGAGATTTTTCCCCTGCTGTTAAAAAGAGTGGGTTTAACTGATTCTTCATGGAGAGTGTCACGTCATAACATATAGCTGGCAATAATAGAAAATTAGGGAAATGACTAATTTAGGAAAGAATGCCTAACAGTCAGATCTAATGAATAGGCACAGAATATTTTCCTAAGGAAAGGGATGGAAGAAGCCCTGCTCACATCTTTTCAACCTTCGCAGAGGAAAGCACAAGATGATCAAAGCTGGAGAGAATCTACAATATTTATGTAAAAGATTCCAATGATCTAACTGTAAGTCTTTTTCCATCCTACAGATCGCTGCTTGAAGATTTGGGGTACAGGCCTTCACAGTATTATCTTCTGCTAGCACCCAGTCAGCCACAGGAGATGCATAACTGAAAGCTACTTCTATCAAGGCAAGAGATGATAAAGACAGAGATGTAGATACTTAGCAGGGTGCCACCCAGGCAATGTGGAGACGGGATTGAGCAGAGAAAGGAGGACTTGTAGTCAAAGAAAAAGGGAAATGCAGGCCTAGGACAGCTCCAGGGTTGCAGAAGAGAGAGAAAGTAAGCTATAAGATCAAAGATTGAGAAACGGGGCAGAGTAGAATATGTACATATCCAAGCAGAAAGAGTTATGCAATGCAACGCTACAAGCAACGCACATTAAGGTTGAAGAAAAATAGCCAGAAAAAGAGAGACGCAGTGAAAGGAGCCATGGGCTGAGACCCAAGCTTTCTAAATACCAAGGGATAGAACATCATGAGATGTTTTGAGCACAGCATTTTGCATGCTGGGGCCAGAACAGAAGCTGCAAAGCTGTACCTCAGTACTACAGACAGGACAGCTGGCAGTTGCCTAACTGCCAAGTTAGAAAATTGGCATGTTTAACCATCCTAAAGCCAGGGGCTTTCTTGAGGAACACACGAGGAATAACAAATATTAGAAGACTTGTCAGAAAGTCCTTAGCAAGCTCACAGAAGTGCTGTCGATATCCAAACAGCTATCACTTACTCGATTAACTCTCGAGAAGAGCAGCCACAGACCTGTCTGACCAACACTAGGAAGGTAGTATTTAGGCTTAGGAGACACAAGCATTACTAGTGATGGATATTTATCATGTGCTCTGCCCTCAAATGGATGTTGGCTGTAGAATGCCATACTGTTTAAAGCATGGAGATGATAACGTGGGAGCAGGGGAGTGCATAGCAGCAGCCTGCAGAGAGAAGCAAATGCATCTGCAGAGGCACATGGAAGAACTGTGTTCTTAGACAGAGGAGAAGATGCAGCAGCACAGAATTTGATAAACCAGCTCATCTCTGATTAAGCTGGAATATAGTCACACTCCTTACATCTTGCAACACTTTTAGCAATGAAGAATGACACAAGTCAGTAACACCAAAGAGCAGAACTCAGTCATAAGGGCTACTGGTTTTTTGTTAGCAGTCTGACAAAAATGAAGGAAAGGTCAAAACAGGCACAAAATGATGATGCTACTACTCAGTTGCTAAGAAGTCTAGCCCATTTTCCTTCTGCTTTACATATTTTCCTTGGTGAAGCATTCAGCTGAGACAAGCTACTAATTTTACAGCCTTTCCATAAGTATAATTTAGTTTAACCAATTGGATTATTTGTCTTTATCTTCTGTGGTGAAACTGTTCTACTGTTCCAGACCTCATCTGCTTTAGAAAGCTCTCCATCAGACTTCCTCTTCTCTGGCATTGGTCATAGAAGTCACTGGATGCAACTGCTGTAATAAGCTAGCCAGCATTCTGTTTTCAATATTATGCAATCTTTATGCAATTAATGGTTGCAATGAATGCAACCATTGATTTAGCAAGATTGTTTTTTTTGCAAGTATCTACCTTTTTTTACTTCTAGACTGGGTGAACCTCACCTAACACTACATAAGTTAGGAATGATTTGAAATAATGAATAGAAAAACAGAATTATAATCAGCCAGGTAGATACCATGCTTCTAGATTTATCCTTATATTTACCTTTTCTTTCATGCTAATTCTTCTGCAATGCCTGATAAGCAAGGTGTGTTAACTGTTCACACATGAATGAGAGATTGCTTCCAAAATCCTACATACTCATTAGAAAGTGCAGAGAGGCTTAATGGTATTTGCACATTTACTAGTTAGCATAAATATGCATTTCGTAACAAATGACCTAACTCCCTTCTGTTATATCATTAGCTGCCAGCTTAAGTCAGTCAGTCTTTCCTGAAGCAAATCTTTGTTCTGTTGCCTGCACAGCTCAAAAATTCTGTATTTGATCATTTTTACTTATCCAATGACATTTTCATTATAAATAGTATAATCAATAAAGTACATCTATTGTGGAAATAGTGATATATTTCATTTTATGTTGTAAAGAACTTCTACCAACTTCCACCACCAAGTTTGTGAAAACGTGCACTAGAAGGCATAGGAAGAGCTTTTTGGATGAGAAAATATTGAAAAATTACTAGAGTGTTTGTTGCAATTATAAGATGTAAGCGTGATCAAATTCCAGCATGATCGCATGACCAAAGGAAGGGCTTTTAAAACGACTCCTGTCACACAGAAATCAGAGCCTAAAATGGAAATTACTAGAAACGAGCATTCTAAAACAATCACCTTCTAGGTTAAACCCTAGCTCTATTAAAGCCAAAGGCAAAACTCCCATTTACTTTAGCAGGTATGTGGTTTCATAAGGTTGGAGGAGACAACCTGGGAAAGCTTAAGCCCTTCAAAATGGAGTGACATTAAATACCACTATACATTTTGCAATAATAATACATGCCCATAATACAGAATTATTGATGTTTGTGTAAGGCTTTCAAAGCCTTGGAGGGCATCTGCTATAGGAAGTCGGAAAAAATTGGCAGGGTTTTTCATTCAGAACAAACAACAGGAATCTCAAAGGAAATAAAAACACTTTTCTCTTACCTTTCAAGTACTTTCAGCTGTCTGGTTCAGAGCCCTTCTGATACAGCCACCACTTGCAAAGGTAATTTGAACAAGCTGAAAGGTCACCAAATGCTCTCCTCTTCCCAGTCCAGCTGCAAACCAGCACCAGTCCCTGCGGTGAATTTAAGTCCCCATGGAAGAGATGAAAGGAACCAATAGAGGCCTCGGGGTGTTGCCCTCCCACAAACCGCCTAAGGAGCACAGTGGGTTTGGGAGCAATTCCCCCACTCAGCATCAGTCTTGCACACCAGCAGGAAGAACCATTTCCTATTAATTTTATGCTCCACTTCTAGGCAAAAGCCAGAAAGCCTTTCCAGCCCTGTAAATCTGGCAGCAAACATCTCAGAATTACCACTAAGGCCCACATATTGACAAGCACATTTGAAGTATTAGTGATGCGAAATTCAGGTGGAGCAATACAGAAAGTAAAAATAAAACACCTTTTAAAACCAGCGGTAGTTAAACACAACACTGCACTTATCCAGCACAACACTGAAAAAAAACCCTTGAGAACTTAAAGGAAAGTAAATTATGTGATATAGGCATTGTTATGGTACCCACACGATTATTTTAACCATGTATTATTATTAAGCCCAGCTTTTAGCAGACAAACTGTCTCAGTTTCTGACCAGTTGCTTTGCTTTACTGCAACCAGAAGCTGTGCTGAGGGAGCTGAAGATGGCAGCAGCCTAACGGCTATCAATATGCATCGTTAGCCCTTGCCAATCTCAGTCATTGCAACAGGATGGTGAAGTCAAATACAGGCTGCTTACCGCACTGGACACTGCGAACACCACCAACTCACACTGGTGTTCCGTGCTTTCCCACTTAGTTTGTGTTTTTTGAAGCTGCAAGCACCAAACGCTCTGTCCTGGACAACCCTGTTACAGAAAGGGAAAGACAGAGCTGCAAGGCAACAGGCACGGTCCCTTCCTCCACAGCTGGGAAAGAGCCAACTACACAGGTGATGCTATTGAGCAAGGGCGGGATTCACTCCTGGCTGAAGAAATAGTTCTCCTTCCCACACTCACTGGTTCCTCACTCATCTGGATCATCTAACACAGAGAGACCAAGGAGAAGTGGAACAGAATATTGAAGAAACAAATGCACGCTCTATCATCCAAATCCCCTTTGATCACATCCGGCTTCCTACTTCGTTCGCTCTGCTGATATTCTACACATTGCTTTTACCAGCTGGAAAGCTGCAAAACTAGAAAGTTATAGACAATAACATCAGGGAGCAAAGCTTGAAATTCTCTCCCTGCAAACACCTGAAACCTCCTTCCAAGCCAGTCAAGCATCAACACACCACATCACTGGGAAGCAAAGCGGCAAACAGCCTGAGTTTTGAAGACAGGATGCTCACAGAAGCCCCCAGGCTTTGCAGGCTGAGCCCTTTCTGCTGCTGCAGTTTCCCTCCATAGACAGACCCTCACGCAAGTTTAAGAGCAGCCTTCCAGCTTCTCTGAGCACGAAGGGAGCACAGAGAGATGGGAAACGAGGCCAGCGACAAGCATTTCACCTCTCCGTGGCTCACAAGACCCATCTAAAGCAAGGAGAAGTGAAAACAGCAATCCCTCTGTGCCAGTTTAACGCTCTGTGTAGCAGGTATTAGTGGTTTCGGCTTGGCACAGACACAGGACAAAAACCTTCAGGGTAGGTAACGCCTGGGTTGGCAAGGCAGCCAGAAACTGAACAGGCTGTGGAGAATTAACCACTTCATCAGCACCGAAAATGGCCTTTTTCCACCATCACCTGCACCATCAGCCTAGGTGGGTAAAGCTACCGTGGAAGCTGTTCCTGCTGGCTGCAGCAGGGATAATAAAATTTCACTGATAATAAAATCAGCCTGCTGATCTGGCAGCTTCTTCCAGATGATACCTAGGTATTTCAGGACAGGTGTAATGCACTGGTATGAATGGAAAAATTAATCAAAGTGATTAATTCAACATAGAAAACTTAATGTTCTCCCTAAAATCAGGACATAGACTTATTTTAAACACTGTGTGAAGCTAAGTGTCAGTCAGCAGGGCAGTTTCTCTCCCAAAACAACAGGGCCGTTAGGAACAACAGCAGCAGAATTCCCCATGTGTTTTTCATTGTTCGGGGTTACGACTGGTCAATTTTGTCTGAAAAATGCTGTCACTTACCCAAAATTAATGAGTCGAAAAAAATGCAAAACGCTGATGTAAATTTAGGAATAGTCCTAGGTGGTAAGCAAGCGGACAAAGAAGCCCCCAGGAACAGAACCGGAGGCCCGTTGAGGCCAGCGGGGGGCAGGCCGCCTCTGCGGCGGCGGGGCCGGGCAGGACCTTGGCGGGACTCCCCTTCCCCCGTCATTCGCGCAGACTTCCCTCTCCAACCCGGGATCCCTCTGGTCCACCCAAAGTCGGATCCTGCGGTTTCTGTGGAAGATGCCAGCTCCCTCTAATGACGGAGGTGCCAGCGAGGCTGACATCAGCACCGGGATACGCAGCACAGCGGTTTGGGTTCCGCTTTTTTTCCACCCGCAAAGGCACTGGAAGTACGGTTTCACCGCGAAAGGATGGGCGGGGCGAGCGAAGG